TCTGTTGTGTGGGTCATGGCGCCCACTCTCCTCTGACTCAGGACGAACCTGTTTCAGTCTGACCGGCTGCTTTGATTTAATTGCACAGAAGCCTTTTGTGCGCAGCAAAGGTCCAATCGTATTCGACAATACTTCAGTTTTTTGATGTAAAGTTGTTTTGTAGCCTCTGAGGTATCCACTGGAAAACATCTGTAGCCCAATATCTCCAGGTTTCTGAAGCTCACAGAGGAAACCTCCTAATTATGATAGCACAAAATCTCAGATTATTTTCCGGAAACATACAATGTGTGCCCAAGCACATCAGAAGCCACAAGAAACCCGAAATGACGGATTCTGTTCGAAATAAGAGTTAAGAAAATTCATGTGCCATTGTTAAAAGCAGTTAGTGTATGGTAAATGCTGTTAACACGCTAAGGAATAGCAAAATTCGAGAAGGCCTACATCGCATGCGCCCTGATGCTCGATCTAGATCCTCACAGGCGGTCGTATAACGATAAAGGATATATGCTGAAAGGACTCCTGGCAGAGACAAGGGAGACCGGGATGGCCATTTCTAGCAGCCGTCAACCAGCCTTGCCCGAACCCAGGTTTTGGCGCACCTGAGCCTCGCATCCGCGCTCCTTGGCCATCCAGTGTTCCCAAGTTCAACCCTCGTAACCATTGGGCCGTGAGCCCAATCGCACCCAATGGTCAGTAGTTTCTAAGGTTTATGCAATAAAAGTTATTTCATTCCTAGGCATATATTTCTAGTTTAATCTCTTGAGATGGTCATTTTATGTGTATAGTACCCAGCCCGTCTCATTAAACCTTAACCGAAATTCTGGAATGTGTTTTCGCTTAGGAACGATTGCTTAGGCGGGATTGTAATATTAATTATCATGCAGCATAATGTCACGATATTATCAAAAAATATTGTTTCCGGTAATAGCGAAGAAAGCACGAAACGTTGTCCGTTGAAATAAGAAGAAACAGCAAATAGGACCTTATAATCAGCCCTTGGAAGTCCAAATCCAGTGACAATAAAAAGGTCGTTTCGAAGGATCCCAATGCAATTTATAGAAATAATTTAAGCAGTTTAGAACACTCAAAGTGCGGTTTCCAAACCTCTCCCAGAAATCAGTGCAGCTGTATGTATGAAGTCTTTTAGCTAAGTCCCTACGTAGCGAAGTCGATAGATGGAAAAATTTGTAATATTTCAGGGTCAGGTGAAGGAGGCTTAGCAGCCGTCTGCCTTGGTCAAGGGATGCAGTATGCATGCTTTATGTTGCTGACGGGTCTAAAATGTGGCGAATGCAACCGAAAAAAAACAAGATCTGATTAGACCAGTCGGTACATCTTTCATAATGGACTCCTTTCTTCGGTGCAAGGTTCCGTTGCTTCTTAGTAGTTTCCACTTCGTGGTAGTTGTAGGCCTTCAAACTGTGAATGACTTGTGAAATGAAGTCATCCGAAACGAAGAATACTTTTCCCATACCTTACGACGGCCTTAACGACGGAAGTGGTGACTTAAACAGATCTCGTCTATTGGTGTTGGTGGGGCGCACTGGACTAAGACTGTGGACAATAGCCCACTGAAGGAATCTGTCGAAATCGAATTCTCAAATGACTTTGGACCGTGGGCTACCAAGGTTGGGAGGACCGGCGCGTTTTCCTACTTTTCATTCACTCGGGTTATAATAAACCAGCTTCCAGAGACAAGTTTCACAATAATGCTTAAACTTGCTGGAGCATATGACTTCAGTTAATAATAGAAGTACACACCTCACGGAAAAGTTGTACAAAGCTCATCATGATGCTCCCCGATCCAAAAAATACGCCTTTAAGCCAGCTTTCTTAAACTGGAGGAAAATGCGGACACAGGCGCAGTAATTACTGGTGCGTTGCCTTGTGTCACTGGTTTTCGCGTCGACTTGTACTGCTACCTAGCTGCAGGACTTCGTCTATCGTCTCAGATTATGAGATTCTGTTGAATGACTTTTGTGATCTCGTGAGGTGCATCCTATTTGGCCGTACGCGTGTCCCCCCTGTATACACAAAAGTCCCAAATTAACAGGTGTTTTGGTAGATTTTGGATAGTCTACTCTGGCCCAGATGTGAAAAACTCGGCAACCTCGGTGGGATTCGAACCCACGACCGCAGGAGCAAGGCTTAAGTGCAGCCAACGCTCTAACCACCTGAGACACGAGGGCCTACCGGAAGTCTGGTAGTCATCTAGTGAATTTTAGATTGATTGCTTAGGAAACCCTGTTTGGACAGTTAGCTTACTCTTTCAGAATTGGCGGATTCCATACGTTGCAGTAGGCTGGGCGATAACGTGACCCAAATGTGGTTGAACTTCGACATGTCGGAGAAAATGGAAGGCTACACTGGAAGTGGATGGCCGAGCGCGCAGCGCGGTGAGGGGAACGACGCCAGCTCCCCATTTGAGGCTCATTCGAGGGAGCCCAACCACGCATTCAAGTTTGATAAAGCAGAAATTCTTGCTAAAAATGACGATCGCGTGAGCCGCGAACCGCTCAAGCCATGGTTTCCCCATCCTCAATCAATCAACAAGCGCAATGATCTCCCTTCGTCATATTCTGTGCTAAGACTTTGCCTAAGCAAGGTATTTATCCACACGAAGAGCGTACGGATAACTACTGTTCCTGGTTTCAGTGTTGGTGAGCCAAAGTGCCTAAGAGTCCATGCGGATGACAAAATGCGCCAGTCAGCAAAGGGACTGCGTGCGATGAGCGAGGGAGCCGATAATCTTGACCGGCACACAGACACATAGTAACTGCATACTGAAATACCTGGCCAGTTGGACTGTGATACACTCGAGAACTGCCAACTTGAGCCCATGTTCCTCTTAAGTGACCCACACTTTGGGTTGGGTATGACTGGCTGACGACTGCTAATAAGCCAGAAATGGCCATTCCGGTTTTCTTTGTTTTTGTCGATATCATGTCATATACACATACCCACATACAAATTTCTCAAAGACATTGATACCGTCTATTGTGGCTAGACTGGGAAATCTGCCTTAACCCGCATACATGAGCATCAATTAGCAGTGAAGAAACAAGATCATTTATCCCAGATGGCTATACACACACTGGACATAACTTTGCATGGGAGAACACTCGCATTGTTGACGCTGGGCCAATAAGGAAAGGCCGCAAATTCCTGGAAGCAGTGCACTCAGTTGAGGAATGTGCCAATCGGCATATCGATTTAGATGCCACATAAAAATCCCTTAAGGACAAATGGAAGCGAGCGTAGCTAATGCCGGAGGATGACGAAAAACCATTGAAGCGCATTGGCGCAGGCTTCGGCCAACCACAGAATCAATTGTTCGGTGCGGTTAAATAGTTAACTGTTTTCGCACATAACTCTAACGACGAGCTGGGAAACCAGTCTCGAAAATTTACGCATTAAAGGTTATTTCGTTTCCAAAGTGTTTTACTTATTTTCAACATATATATATATGTCTACTGCTAGTCGCTGTGCGACTGCCTGCGAGGGTTCTAGTATGAGCCCCAAGGCACAACGGAACGAGCATGTTCCG